AAAAAAAAATAAAAAAATAAAAAAAAAAACACATCATAGTAAAATTAATACCTTCTCAGCTTCGCATCGAAGCTAAAAAAAGGGAATGTGCGACTGCATTATTTAGGAAAATTTAATTATGTTATTATTGAATTATACGNAAAAAGGGAATGTGCGACTGCATTATTTAGGAAAATTTAATTATGTTATTATTGAATTATACGGTTCAAAATTAGTTTTTATTCACCACGAAATTAATACTATCTAGACAATAACACCGCATTACCAATTGCCGAGCAGTTACACTTAATTATATGATGTTCACAATAACTAATTTAATTTACTAATGTGTTAAATAGTACTATTAATGATAGGTCAATTTTTTACGTCACACATGTCTTTGGACCAAGACTTGACCCATCAATCGACTATTTCACTGTATGCTAAATTCTACAGCTCGCTTATGTAATTACTGTCACCTTCAGCTTATTCCTTTTTCAATCAAACTTAATATCATAATAATGATCACCATATGATGGGTATGGTTACACATCACCTCCTCTTCTTTGTAGAGATAAACCGCTGATCTACTGTTTTAATACATACGTTAGCAAAAAAGGACGCTCTCTATGGTCAAAAGTATACACTTCATAGTTGGGATTCATTGGGTTAATATGTCGCCGCTCAATTACACCTTATACATTTCAATATTTTCATATATTTCTAAAATTATGCAATTTTTCAAAATCCCTCCATTTTCTGTAATATATCAAGGTATACTATACATATACCAAGGTATACTATACATATACCAAGGTATACTATACATATACCATGGTATCTATACATGTACCGAATCGCTATCTAGGAAAGAGCAATTTTGACATTTCAACATATCCTTCCGGCCATTTACACCACCCGCCTACCTAGAGAGAGAAAACGGCCGGGAATGTTTTAGGGATCCTAGCTCATATATTACACATCTACTCGCAGTATTCATGTGCTCAGACGCGTTATAAGCCAAATATTTTGTTAAATGTAAAATTTTTGTTTATTAGAATGTAAAATATGTCAAAAATTTTTAAGTAAGGATGTAACTAATGTGAAATGTTGCGTAAGTCAGTTTCATCAGAACTGTTTAGATGAATGGTTTACAAAAAAAGGATATGAATGTCCTAATTGTAATAAACATTTCAAAACAGGTGAATACTAGATTATTTTATTAAAATTTAACACTTCAGGTTTACGGTGCTGTTTCTTTTTCAGCAAATATTTGATATGCGTATTACTCTATCGTCTTAAAAATTTTACGTACTTTTCTCCATACCCCTTAATTATCGTCGTTTTATCCATTCATCTTTGTTATGAACGCATTCAGCTACGCACGACAATTCATGAAACGTCATCTGAATCTCTCTATCCATCGCGCCAATCGGCTCCAGTTCCGAAAATCCACAGGACTAAAATAATAAGTTTTTGGTTGACGTTTCTAATAATTGTTCGTTTAAATATGGATTTAGCAATAAGTAAAAACAATGAACCAAAATCTGTAACATCTATGAACTAACTTAACAGTCTATTTATAATTGTCAGTTGTTTAGATTGCTAATCGCTCAACAACCATTGCCAGTGATAACAAATTTTTAAAAGTAAACGTAATAGCTCACAAAGAAGTCGACATTTCCGATATCTTATGGATTTAATTTAATATTAAATAAATTCTCGTGATCTCGACATGATTACACAACATATTTTTGGGTGTTTTGTGTAATAGTCCAAATTCACAATGTAAATAACTTATTTAAGTTCGTTAATCAGTGCTGTAATTTTCTAGTAAAACTCGGAGAATTTCAAAATAAAATATAGTCATAGCAAATTAAAATCCTCTCTTTTATACTCTTTTATAGTTAGCTCTCCAATTACACTAGTTTACAACAAAATTGACCTATGATTTATGATAGTCATTTTTTATGTAAAATAGTCCACTGAGTCTGAAAATGAAGTCCAAAATACAAAAAGTAGAACAGTTTTTGAGTTATTGCGAAATTAGCGTTTTTCGTGTGCCACGAAAAAATTGTTTTCATTATATTCTAAATATCTTTAATTGCATTCAACCGATTTTCATTTTTTTTACATAAAATTATTAATTTATGCGCGATTGAAAAATAAAACAAATTTTCTTATCAGAGTTTTTTAATTCGATGCTTTAATTGTGTAAAATATAGAAAAATTACTCACAATATTACTTTACAAAACAAAATTTTGATTTTTTAAATAACTTAAGGTTGTTTCCTTCAAAAAAGAAATTTTGAATTACGAAAAAAAAAACTTTGCCTTGGCCTCACTACTCATCACTAATTGGTAGCACTGATAATTTTGTCTTTTGAAATAAAACGGATAAATTAATTTTGGTCATAGAAGTGTTCTATATTCTATTAATATATTCATTTTTTCTAAGATACTTTAATAATCCATATAACTATTTTACGTTTATTCTTAATAAAGATAAAAATGAGTTCGAATAAACGCCAATATAAGTGTAAGAATAACACCAATAAATTTTGTTATGCGTGTGGCGAATATATTTTTGTTACACCGCCGAATTTTACTAGTACATTGCAATCTGCGTATCGTTTTTACTTTAATATTTCTCCAGAGAACTTAAGTGAATTGTGGACGCCAAATGTCTTATGTAACACGTGCAGAAGTGGATTAACAATGTGGATGATAGGTGCAAAGTAAAAAAATATATATTTTTTTGAATTTTTTTACATTATTTATGTATAAAATAACTAAAATCTTAAAAATTTTAATTCGCTTTAAACGATACTTATCTTTTGATTTACCAACAATTTGGCGATAGCCAATGTGTCAGGAAGTTGATTGCTACTTCTGCTTGACTAAAATAAAGCAACATGGACGTCATAAAACAGTTAAATATGCTCATGTAAACACCACGTCAAAACCAGTTCCACATTCACTCTCAGTTGAATATTCTATTTGCCCCAAAATGAAAAAAGAAAATAGTGAATCGCCCGAATCAAGTAATCATGCCGACTATAAGACTGACATTAGTTTTAAACTTGAAAAAAATCCAAAGCTTTTTACCCAAACTGAACTTAATGATTTAATAAGAGATTTGAAACTCTCAAAAGAAAAACACTTTTTCGCGGAAACACGAAAAACGCTAACTTTGCAATAACTCAAAAACTATTCTACTTATTGTATTTTGGACTTCATTTTCGGACTCAGTGGACTATTATACAGAAAAAATGACTATCATTAGTCATAGGTCAGAATATTTTTTTTTATTTATAAATAGTGTTACTTTGCAATAATCGGACACTTAACATTTGTTAAGGGCATCCAATGGCAGGACTCCAACTAACTTAAGTATTTTAGTAGATTAAAAAGCTATTATAACATAATTTATTTTATAATTAATGTAGATCTCTCTCCAAGATCTTTTTAGGCGACGTCGAGGATTATCAGATATTTTTTAAGAAGATATGGTTCTAATAAAAGAATTTGGATGATTTTGGAGTGTGTTGTGACATTTTTTGTATCTGATGATAGGACTTTGTTTTAAGGTAAAGAGTTGAAGGTCATTATGGATTGTTTCACTTAATATGTAAGGAAGGGCGTTGGGTATACAGCGAAGACACTTTGAAAGGAGAAATAAATTTAGTTAATGTTCGACTATTTTTCTGCACTCTATAGTTTAATACTATACGACCACATTGGTTTAATAAGAATTTTATATATTATGACTTTGGTATAGGCATTTCCATTAAATAGTATCTATAGTGTTCTAAGACGCTGAGTTATGGTATTATTTTGAAATGGATATGATTTAGAGACGGTAAGGTAGCTCTTTGTGTAAAATATTTTTTGTGACTTTCCATAATGAATCATTTTTAACCGAAAGTAAAGATGTAAATTTTTCAAGGGATTCTTTACGAATTTTGAAAAACATTTTAGCTTTGGCTATACTTTTAAGGACAATCAGGTGACGGGCTTACAAATAAAGCGGTGCAGAATTCGATTGGATGTTTTTTTTTAATATAGAAGTAGAGTTCCAGGCAAAGAACTGTACTAAATATGTTAATCTTTTAATTGCGTTTTGGACATCATCGCGGTTTTTAAGTATAATATTCAAAGTTAAATTAGTATAAATAATATTTCTAAATGTTTCTCAGTTTGTATTTTTATTAGTGCGTTTCTTTTATAAATACCAAATCGACATTAAATTTATTTACTGCAGATAACATTTAATTTTTGTGGCTGTGTAAGCCATTAGTATTCCATGATAGGATGAAAAAGGATTTTGAGTTTAGTATATTATAAACATTATTTTTTGTTTAAAAGTCGTTAATTACAGTAGTCAGAAGGGAGAGGAGTGGATTCAATAAACATTTAAACTCATTTAGGAAATCAGAAAATAATTTATCTGGAGAATGGAAATAAATATTAGAGTTGGCAGTTATTTTTGCTCCGTGTTGTTAGTAGAAAGCCCATGCGTCGGTTGAGGAATAGGTTAACAATTTAGGTTTAACTTTGACACCCGAATACGTTGCAGATCCTTGTAAATCCGATAGCCTTTATAATTTACTGGCTAATTATTTTGGCCCAAGGTACATTTAGCTAATGTGTACTTTGATTTTTGCATTCTAAAGATGCGTTGTTTTCGCTTTGGCATACAAGTGAGGGCTATATAGTAATACAAAAATAAACGTATGAGTTGGGGATTTGGGGATTTGGTCAATTCAGGAGCAACGAGGTTCTATCGGGGTTGAAGAGTGCGAAGGTTTAGAACTATAAAGACAAGTAAATATAAAAATAAATTATTAAAGTTCCTCTTTGTCTAGGAATAAAATACTAATTAATTGGTAAGCACCTTTAATAGGACACTGAGGCAACGAGGCGGTAATCCGACCCACGAATACCCAGACGAAGTGTCTATTAATACAGTCAGATACACATTAGGTTTTGACACTCTTTTCGGGCACGGGGCGGTAATCCGACCCTCGAGACCTGTAAAGTGTATATGTATAAAGTGCGAACAAATTAGTAAATTTAACACATATACGAGGTGTGATCAAAAAATACCCGGACTGTGTTAATAATATTTATATCAATTAAGATAACGAAATCCCGATAATTTAATTCGATAAAGTAACTTCTAACGAGAATTTGAGCATTGGTTTGAAATCGATAACAATATTTATTTTTATTTTATGGCATTTTTACGAAAACATATTTCAGTCATGCGTCGATTTTTGAAATGGAAACAATAGAAGAACAACGTGTGTGTGTAAAATTTTGTTTTAAATTAGGGAAAAGTTCTAGTAAAACTTTTAAACTTTTGAAGCAAGCTTTTGGAGATGATGTTCTGTCTCGGACATATACATATTTTTCGTTGATAAATATATGATGCGTAATGCAAAGTATTAGTAATATTACTACAGCTATGAACTATCGCCCTCTACTGTTATTCTAAATTCAAAAAGGTAATCATTTGAATCAAGTCGATAATGATTTTGTACGAGATTCGAACAGAAGAAGATTTGTCCGACAGGCCTTCCGCGTTGGGTACCAGTATGGAATTTGCTGAAACACAGTTCATTAATATCATTGTTGTATTAGGCACATACTGTGTAAACATACAACTGGTTTATCGATTCTGTGTCAAATCCACTTTCTAAAATCAAAGGTATAAAACCATTCAATATTTTCCATTATTTGCGCTTACGCACTAACGGAAAACGGCGATGAGGGTATATATTCGAGGGTATATAAGTGACTGGTAAAAAAAGTTTATTTTTATATTTAATATATAATATTTAAATTGAATAATTTAAGCTATTTTTTTTTTTTAGGTGTTCAATTATACAGTAAGATTTTATTTAATTTTTTTTAGTTTTATGATAGATATTACTTAAAATTATTAGTAACCTGTAACTACTAGTTAAAGATAATAGTATTTATCATCAGTAAATTTTATCTTCTACCATCCTTCATTTTTAGCCTTCTTTCTGACCGATAACCCGTCTCATAGTATCAATGGTTAAGAAATCTCATACTTTGAGGGAGGCCACTATGGATTTTAATGAACATAAAAAAATTTAAAAAAAGAGATATTTCTTAATGTTCAATTAAGTTTAACAGTTAGTTTACTTTATATAAACAATGCTTTTTAATAGAGTTTTAGATAAATTAAAATAGATGATTTTAAGGTAACTTTAACTTAGTTTTTCTCCATTGGGACAAAAAAATAATTCAGAAAATTTTCACACAATACACATTCTATAGTAAATTTTGGTATTTTATCGAAACCAAGATAAGTTTAGCTTTGAAAAATCCTTTTTTTTTAATTTATTATATTATAAATTATTGTAAAAGAGAAAATACCAAATGAATGGAGAAATAGTATTGTGGTGCCGATATTTAAAGGTAAAGGAGACATACAGGAGTGTAGAAATTATAGAGGCATAAAGCTTATGAGTCACAGTATGAAAATTTGGGAAAAGATAATAGATAAGATAATAAGAAATGAGACATCGGTATCTAAAAACCAGTTTGGATTTATACCTGGTAAGTCAACAATAGAGCCAGTATTTTGTGAAAGGCAACTAATAGAAAAATTTAGGGAAAAAAATAAAAAGCTTTGTATGGTATTTATAGATTTGAAGAAAGCGTATGATAGAGTACCGACAGAGGTTCTAAAGTGGGCATTAATGAGAAAAGTAGTCCCGAAAAGGTACATTAATACAATAGATGATATGTATGATGGCACTTATACTAGAGTAAAAAGTGTGAGAGGAGTATCAGAAAGTTTTTGGGTAAGACTATGTTATTAGAAGAAAAGAATCGGAAGCCGTATGAACAAGGATAAGGGTATTTATTAGGATTACAATTCACTAGCATTTCGCCAATATTACTACTGAACGTGTGTACGAAGTGTATTTGCTTTAAATGTAAAAAGAAATCAATTTTCTGAAAAGATAGATATCCTTTAGGTTTATGAGCCTATTCTCTATATATGAGGTATATTCACGCATTCTCCTATTTGCGCTGTTATTTGTAGTAAGTCACACTAGTAAAATACCACTAGTAAAATAGAAGTGTTGGTGTGGTAAATAACATTTGTTATAATTTTCTTGGCTGACACTCCAGGGCTATCGAAGGTATTAAAGAGCTGTTGTTATAGAGGATAGAATTGAAGATAGCAAAGTATGATGTGCAGAAGAAGTGCAAAATATAAATACTGAGCGTACCAGGAAAAAAATATACCCAAGTAAGAGATACCAGACACAAGTACTTGGGTTCAGAAAGACATAGGTGTCAAGGAGAAAATACACAAACTCTTGACGTCAGATGAGAAAATCGAACAGCGACAACCCAATATTAAGACTGTGATTTGACACATATGAATCTTGATATACTGGAGTCCATTGACCACGATGACCAGGTCTATTCGGTTTAGTGTTTATAAGGTTGCGTAGTTGCATTTTTTTATTTTAATAGTCAATTACTCAGTTGCAAGCATCGGTAGTGCTGTCTTAATATATCGTTGAATTAGGACTTTTAAATAAAAATTAAAAGAGATACTTGTCTTAATTTAAATTTTACGATTAAAAATTTAATTTTGATTCATGCACTATTCATAAAAAAAAAATCACATATTTTGTTAAGTGTAAAATTTTTGTTTATTAGAATGTAAAATGTGTCAAAAATTTTTAAGTAAGGATGTAACTAATGTGAAATGTTGCGAAAGTCAGTTTCATCAGAATTGTTTAGATGAATGGTTTACAAAAAAAGGATATGAATGTCCTAATTGTAATAAACATTTCAAAACAGGTGAATACTAGATTATTTTATTAAAATTTAACACTACAGGTTTACGGTGCTGTTTCTTTTTCAGCAAATATTTGATATGCGTATTACTCTATCGTCTTAAAAATTTTACGTACTTTTCTCCATACCCCTTAATTATCGTCGTTTTAACCATTCATCTTTGTTATGAACGCATTCAGCTATTTTATACTTATTAATTATTATTAAATACACTAAATTTAAACAATCCCTTCCTAGTTCTTAATGCCATATATTTGCATATGCTTTATTCAAGTGAGCATTGCCAATAAACCTATTTTAAATCAAACTTATATTTCTAATCATATTTAGATTAAGCATGAAATACGCATCTGATACAGAAACTTATATGATTTGCCTGTTGTCGATATACAGGTGGGATGAGCCATCTTTTTTCTTAGTTAGGCAACTGATGCCGACCAGGGCTAGGTGCTAGTTTCCATAACTAACTGGGATTCCAAATCGTCTACCATTTCATTTATCGCATCATGCTCGTGAAGAGTGTACAGGTATGATTTTAACGCGATGGGTGTTAGATCTTATAGAACGATATCATGTTTGATAAGTTTTGTGCGTCCATCGTAATATTTATTGACTATATTGGTCCCCTTCCAAAATTTTAGTAGTTACTAATCGATTATCAAAATTTTGCGTAGCTAAACCATTTACAATTGCCAATGTGCGTAGTACCAAAAAATTTCTTTTAGACTTATTTTTTAAGATTTGGTCCAGTTAAGATAATTAGGTTAGATAATGGAACCCATTTTACGTCGAAAACAGTTTTAAACCTAATGGAAGCTTTTGGGGTAGACAAAAAATTCGGAATTCCATACAAGTCTACTTCACAAGGTCAGGTGGAGAGGCAAAATCAAACGGTAATAGACATGATTTCGCATTACGCTCAGGATAATAATAAGCAAGCAAACTATTTACCGTACGTTGTATACGTTTATAATACTTCAACACATTCGATGTTCCTAAGAGCATGTCTGATATCGCACTAATTCCCCTTTCCGGTGGGAACGTGGTCGATGAAATTAATAAAATCATATTAGAAAAATATTACCCCAATTATTATAGAAACAATGCGAACAGACTAAACAATAACTTTTATCTTCGAATAACTTTCAATGATTTAAAGCGAGAGACAAAGTTCCGGTAAAGGGTAATAAATTTTCAAATAGTTATGAAGGCCTTGATGTTATTTTAAAGAAAATAAGTCCATATAGTTATTTTAAAAATCTACCCAAAAATAATATTTTGGTCGATTCGCCTGTTCATATAGACAAATTAAAACTATGTATTTCTAAAATATAAATTCCCGTAGAAACCCATGCGGGGCCTAGCACTAAAATATTAAATATGCATAGTAAAATGAGGAAGGTATGAAGAAAATTTAACATGTTGGCCATGACATAGGCATAACCATAAACTATGGCATATGTACTATAATCGGAATAAAACAATATAAGGCGGTATGGTTTAGGAGCTCGGATAAGCCACTTCTCATAATCTGGCAAAAACAGGTTCAAATAAACAAGAAAGTCTCTTAAATTTTTTTGCCATTTCGATAACCCTTTCGATGAGTAGGGAGTACGTATTCGAAATAATATGTCTAAAAAGCATATATAGTTTTTCTAAGGATGCTTATTAATGTGGTTCTTAAAATTAATGTAGTAAAATTTAAAAATTATACAATCTCAATTAGTTCCAATACTTATAAAAATGAGGTACGCAATGTTTCAGGTAAATCAGAAAAGATTAACCCGTGCCACAAAAGGCCTAAAGTTTGAAAACTCAAAAATTTTGGATAACCGTACATTTTTCATTGTTTTTTTAGTTCAGCGTGTGAAATAATGTATTCACAACAAAATTGTAAGAACAAAAATTGTTTAATATAATTTTTTACACAATTTATATTCTGAATAACCTTTTGATTTACTTATTATTTATGTATAAAAAGTCAATATACAAATAATTTTGTTGTTAAAAACTCACAAAATAAAGTGAATGTTAGTTGTAGTTTTTCAACTCGTAATTTTCGTAATTTATCACAACAGCAATGTATAATCTTGAATAAACTTTTATCAAACCATCAAGTTATTAACCATCAATTTATTACAAGAATGACTAAAAAGACGACAAAGTCTTTATCAAAACCCATTACTAATATTTGTCCTAATTATAGATTTTTCAGGTTATTGTTTTCATTAGTTCTACTGCGCCCGTATGATCATTTTTAGATTGTATACATTTTAGTGTTTACAATAATTTTGATATTTTAACATTTTAGCTTCGATGCGAAGCGGAGAAGGTATTAATTTTACTATGATGTGTTTTTTTTTTTTATGTCTGTTGCCACTTTTTCTCAGCTCTCACTGGACCGATTTCTTTCAAAAATACGTCAAAAGATCACAAATCGTATCTAGTTGAAGACATTACCCTTAAAAATTGAAAAAAATTCCCTCGTTCCCCGCAAATGGGGGAAATATCCAAAAAAATTACAAATTTAAAAATCGCTAATTTTCGAAATTTTTTCACTTTTTTTTCTTAAAACATCCATAACTTTTTGAAAAATTAACAAATCAACATAATTTTTTTTTATACTAAAACCTTAAATATCTACCTTTCATTTTATATTATTTTTTTGAAAATCTATCACTTAACCTACTCATTGGGGAGGATTTAAAATGGCAACTTTTTTACAAAAATTAACTTTTTCAACTTAATTTTTGAAAATGTTCCGGAAATACTGCGTCCTTTAAACATATATCAAATTAAAGTTTTTTTTATGTACTATTAAATGAAAAAAAAAAATTTGTCCCGACACTTTTTCTTCTACATTTAAACGGCTGCCGTAGTTAAAAAAACACTATTTTTGTGTTAAAATTTTCGATTTTCGATTTTAAATTTTCAACTTAAAAATGCTATAACTTTTTGAAAAATGTATATGTCAGCACAAATTTTTTTTTTTCTAAATACATTATAAGTACATCTTTCATTTGACATACTTTTCATTAAAATTGGACAATTTTCTCTTATATAGGAGGCGTTCAAAACTTAAAATATTGTAAAAAACATAGATCTTTTTCAACTGAACTTTGAATTTCGATATTTTAACATTTTTTTTAATACATATTAAAATGGCTTCACAGAAAACTTTACGAAAAGATACATTTATATTTTTGATTGGTTTCTCGTCAAACCAAATTATTGGTAGTTAATTACCGTCAATAAGACAAGTACTATCGGTTTTTTTTTTTATATTCGTCATGTTAACCTGAGCATACTTGAAAACTCTAAACTGACAATAAAAGAGGTAAATATTTTTTGGCAAAAAGCGCGTATACCTATCAGTGCTGAACAGTATTGCATAAAAAAACTTCAAAAATATTACGATGAATGGAGAAATTTACAAAAACTGCAATACAGAAAATCTGACACTCAAGCAAAAAAAAATGAAGAATTTAGTTCAAAACTAAATGATTTGTTTGACATTGCTCAAGTTGATGCCCTTAATTAATGTCATTACAAGAAGATACAGATTTTTTATTAATGCAAACACAAAAAGGATGTCCTAGTATTATGTAAGGAGTTGATTTGAATATTGCACAAAAAGAAAAAATAGCCAATAAAAGGTTAAAGATGTCCGAAAAAAGACGTAAAAGAAGTTATGACGAGATACAGTCATTGAGTAAGTTTAATGTTAATTTAGAATCATTATTTAATAATTAAGTATGTATTTTAGATGCGCAAGTAGAAATATGCTCATCATTAGAGTCTGACGTTGCTGAAGATAATTTTAACAAGCCTGGACTGTCTAAAATGTACGTTAAACAATCAACTAGAGGAAGAATTGATTTTATTACGCCAAAACTTGCAGCTGCACTCGATAAATGCAAAATTAGTGATAGAGATGCAGTTCATAGATTAATTTCAACAGCAGAGGCATTAGGTGAGGACGTTGAAAAATTAATTATAAATAGATCTTCAATTCAAAACTCACACATACGTTTCCGTAAAGAACGCGCTGAAAAAATCCGTAACAATTATTTGGTAACTATTAAAGATTCCGTTGTCATTCATTGGGATGGTAAACTTTTACCTTCATTAACAGGACAAAAAAGTGTTGATTGACTTCCCATTATAGCTTTATGTAATGGTGAGAGTCAATTACTAGAAGTTCCAGCAATTGATACGGGAACAGGGGTTGATCAGACTGATGCTATTTTTCATATACTTATTGATTGGTGTATTACAGAAAATGTGCAGGCTTTTTGCTGTGATACTACGGCTTCAAATATGAGTATATTTAAAAGTACTTGCGTGTTATTAGAAAATTACTTGGAACGTAATATTTTGTACTTACCATGTCGACACCATATCTACGAGCTAATATTAAAATGTGTTTTTGTAGTTAAATTACGTCTAACATCTGGTCCTGATGTACCAATATTTAAACGGTTTCAACAAAATTGGAGAAATATAGATACTAGCAAATTTGAGCCAGGTATAATGAACGACATTGTAAATAAAACATTAAATGATGTATGTACTGATGTAAATAACTATTTCGCAAATAACTATTTGCTTATCAAACAACCCAGAGAGTTTTTAGAACTAATAATTATTTTTCTTGGTGGAGTTTCCTTTAGAGTTCCGGGAGCTATCCATCATGCTAGATGGATGGCAAAAGCTTTATATTGCTTAAAAATATTTATATTCCGAAACCAATTTAATTTAACCCAAAAAGAAGAAATGTCAATAGCTAGTATTAGTATATTTATTATTAGATTATACGTAAGAGCTTGGTTTAATGCACCACTTGCTTCTAATGCACCATACCAAAATTTTAATTTTTTAAAAGATTTGGTAAATTATCGGTCAATAGATAAAAATATACCTGAAGTTACAGTTAAAAAAATGTATGGTCATTTATGGTATCTATCGCCAGAGAATACGGTATTATCACTTATTGATACTAATATTCCATTTGATACAAAGAGAAAAATTATAGCTGCTCTAAAAATCCATACAGATGATGATGTACCAAAAAAATATTTATTGAATACAAAAGAAGCTACTGGAATATTAAATAAAAATCTTGAAGATTTTATTTGTGAAAAATCAATGCAATTTTTCAAACGTTTTAATATAGATACTAGTTTTCTGATCATTGACCCATCATTATGGAGCACTGATGAAAATTTCAAGATATCAATAGACCATATTAATAGCATTAATGTAGTAAATGACTTTTTTACATAAATAATAAGTAAATCAAAATATTTTTTAGAATATCATTTGTGTAAAATATTATTTTAAACAACTTTTGTCCTTACAATTTTGTTGTGAATACATTATTTCACACGCTGAACTAAAAAAAACAATGAAAAATGTACGGTTATCCAAAATTTTTGAGTTTTCAAACTTTAGGCCTTTTGTGGCACGGGTTAATCTTTTCTGATTTACCTGAAACATTGCGTACCTCATTTTTATAAGTATTGGAACTAATTTTGATTGTATAATTTTAGAAAAGTTAAGTTTTTTAAATGTTCCCTATTCACTAAAACCACCCTAATGCTTATAAATTAATTATTTTTGTAGATATTGCAAACTATGAATATAAATTTACACAGGTCCATTTGATTAATTACCAATTAGGCAAAATATGCAATGATCAAAATAATTCGAAAAGTATTTCAAAAACATGTCAAAGCTATGACGACATAATACTACCCGGCTATAATTAAGCCAAATGTAATTCCCATAGACGCTGGGCTGCATGAATTAAGTCAATACTCCGAAAAACTAGACGACGTTATTACAAATATCGAGGCCACTGAGAAAACCATATAATTCGTAAACGCCATTAAAAATAATCAAATTTTAACTTTAATTGTATTATTTATCGAGGGATATATACTATTATACCTACTATCAATATACATTCGAAATAAATGTACACGACCTTCCCCAACTCCATTACCCGTTGCCCAATTTTTTGGGGAGAAACGTAATAAATAATATTTTCATCCACGACTACCGTTTAAATAAAATTCAATATTAACTAAACTAACTTAAAGACTAACATTAAACGTTATAACTATTTTTCTTTTTTTTTTTGTTTTCCGAATTATTTTTCTTTAACAAAATTTATATATATGTATGTATATCAGAATGATCCGTTACTTCGACGACATGCTTTCACTGAGAAACTGCTCTATAGAAAATTTTTTGGTCTTCCATACTGGCGCGTTCGTCCAATACGCCAGCAACGATTTTGACAATCCCAAGAGGATGATGCGTGGAGTGACGACAATCTTCAATAAATATTTTGGCAAACCAGACAAATCAAACAGAGTGTCCCGCTATTTGTGTAGCCAGGAGTTCTATAGTAAATTAATAATCTCGATTTTATTATTGATTGACGAATGATCTGGTTGTTCGCGCTGCGCGTTGCGTTGTATGTTGATGTGGTGGTTGAAATTGTGACTGTGAGCCAAAAAAGCAGAATTATTTTTCTGTGGCTGTTTTCCGAAATTGTCAACTTATTAGGGCAACTACTGTGCCAGTGATCGTCTCCGCAATATCGACAGAGTTGGAGGGGGCGCACCCACCCATTGTCGAACGGCCTGTGGGGGTTGGAGAAGTGCAAGAAACGATAAATACGGAATTAAATTGACTTTTAGCTTACCTGTACATGTGGGCCTATCGAGATCGTTGGCGATTACGTGTAGGTCGTCCAATGTACGCGAGCACAGTGCTGGACAGTACTCTTTCTGTTTGGACATGCACGCTTCAACACGTGTATTAAGAGATAAGTCACGTAAACGTTGCTGTAACACGCTTATCTGCTCCTTTGCGTGGGATATTAAGCGAATCGTATACAAGTCGTCCGTATACGCTGCATTTAAACTACCGTTGAAGCGCCCGGTTGCTTGGGACCACTCCTATAGAGACTCAGCTTCAGAGTTCTCCAACGCTAAGTTAACTGGTTTGTCCACGTATGTGGAAAGATCAACGGATCGGCACTGAGCAGGGACTTTGTTTACCTGGGAGTCGGTATAAATATTAATTAATATTTTCCGAGATTTTATCAGAAGAATATTTATCCAGCAGCCTTTCGTGTTCGGTTACAGTTCTAAATTTGCTGGAGCAGAACGCATTAAAAACACTGTTGTATTTTTTATGGCCAATGGCCAACAGTCTTTTAAATCGATATCGTGTTCGATAAGTTTTGTGCGTCCATCGGGTCTTTATTAACTGCAGTGTACTTTTTCACTATCTGTGTTAATAATTAGCGCGTATTTGAGTTTCTTACTATAACTAATTTTAACAGATCTATATTGTGAGGGGTGCGGGGAACTTGCTTTCCACCATGCTGTAGTACGTCGTTTTGAGCCTAGATGAATTGTACATGTAGTGTACAATTGTATGAATTGTACGTGTATCATTCTCTAGAAGTACTTCGCATTAAAAATTATCCAAGAACACGGCCGTAAAATTAATCGTCAGATCTGCAAATTTCACGTTAAAATTAGCAGTGGCGCTGTGGGTGTTGTATTACCATCTGCTTGTATAACCGCGTGTATGGATCCTTTGTGTAAAATTCCGTATTTATGGTCTTTGACGGGGTAATATATGACTTTTGCACTTGTAAGTTAAGTAATGCCGTTATAAAGCCGTTGTTAAATTCAAGTTTCAAGAACGATTGGGTCGCGCGCACATTGCTAGCTGTTATTTATTTATAATAATCTCCGCCATTCGCTGATGGATTCCCTAATGTGTTTTCATGAGTTCGTTCTTTAGTTCCGTTTGTATGCTGTTATTATCGAACGTCACGAGAAACTCCCTTGTAAATTGGTGCCTGGACATATTGTTCAAATTAATGGGCTCTCCCCAAGTAAATGCCGTGAATACCGGATTGGGTCAGGAGGTTTTCTAGCTGCTCTAGAAAATCTGTCGGGTACTCCTTATATTTTCCCGCAAACTCAGTGGACAGAAGTCATATAACGAGTGAATTATTATATGGTGCATTCACCTCATATATGTGTGATCGGATTGATGAGGACGAGGACAAATCACGTGTCGATTGTGCAAATGCGAAATTCCACGTTTGTTATGGGTGCGCGTATATATAAAATAATGACTCGTACGTGTCCCCTTGAAGTAGTGCAGGCGAAGATTGCATAGTCTGACAACTAACTGTTGTAAGTTACTTATTTGGCGTTCTTTGATTTCAGTTGTTGTTGTAGGGCTGCGTTATTTTGAATTTTATTATTCAGCCCGAAAGTTACGTAACTTCCGTTCAGACAAACGCGCATAATCAGTACGATTTGTTTCTATTGATTCTCGCGTCATCTATATGGTGGTTGGTGCAGATTCCGTCGTTCGTTTCGTCACGGCTTGCAATCGTTTTTGAGAGGAACCGGATTTCCTGTGTAATGCAGGACAGTGCTCTTTCTACTTCGAACATGCATGCAATAACGTGTGTTAAGAGATATATCACGTAAACTTAGACGTAATGCGCCATTTCGTGTGACATTGAGAGCACTATATACAGGTCGTCCATATACGCTGCGTTCAAACTACCGTTGGATTGGGGCTTTTGTTTTATTCTTCTTCTTCCTCCTCGCCTTAATCCCAACTATTTGGGGTCGGCCACTCTTATCCTAAACTTCCACTTGACACGATCTCTCACATCATCTACGCTCACATCAGCTGTCCTCATATCGCATTCAATAACTTCTCTCCATCTCTTTTTTGGTCTTCCTCTACCTTTTCTTACTTCAACATTCATTTCTACACTGTTCTCACGGCTTCCGATTCTTCGCTTCTCTTTATTTTAAACTCTTGTTTTATTAAAAATTAAAATTTGATTTAAAAATATTGAAGTATTTTATATATATTTATTATTTAAACTAAATAATTTTTCATATTTTTTTCAGGTGTTGACAGTAAGTTTCTAATTTTTTATTCACTTCATCTAAATTTTGTGGTAGATATGATTTAAATTTTATTAGTACGATGTGATTAAAAGTTAAAGATATTGGTATTTAGTATCAGTAAATTTTGTCTTCTATCATCTTTTATTTTTATCCTTCTTAAGAACCGATAACGTTAAAAAAATCTTTGTTTTATTTATAAGATAAAAATTAATAAAAAATTAAGTTTTACAGTTTTTTGAAATTTAAACTAGCTTAAATTTCTAATTTTATCATCCGACTAAAGTGACATAGAGTTTCCGAGTCGGTATCACTCATGCCTTTCATGCTTGGGGTACAAAGTTCCAACCACCCACCTGTGGCAAAGTATTTATTGCATTTTTTTCTTTATTATTTTTGAGTTAATAAAAAATTTCAATTAATTTCATTTTTTTCTCATATATACTCAAAAACTTCTATGAATAGAAAGGACCCTATCATTGTAGTCTCCACTCATGAAAAGTAATATCTTATTCATATTAAAATTATTTTACTATGTGGATTTTTTTGTGGCTGTCATTTATTTTTTCAGCTCTCGCTTGACCAATTTTTATGAACTAGTATCTAGTTAAGATAATACTCTCAAAAATTGAAAAAAGATCGACCTTCTCAGATAAAAATTTTATTAATCAGCTTTATCATATAGACAATTTTGATAACATTATACTAAATAAATAATTTCTAAAAACTATAATTTTTAGTTTCATGTGAATTTAACAATGGATTCTTACAATTATAATCAAATTTTATAATATGCTTAATTGAGTGGATCTATTTAACAACATTTTAAATGTTTTTTTCAGTTAAACTAAATTATTAAAATTAATTAAGTTCTGAACATTTTAATTATAGAATCTTTTTAAACACCAAAAGATACTTAGAAATGATTATTATGATTTCTATTTAAGTAATCTAATACAAAAAAATATTGAGATTATCTGATAAATTTAATGTAAATAGTAATTTTGACTTATAATATATAACATAAGCTTTATTTTAACATGTGTTTGAAGCTCAGAGTATTTCCGGAAAATTTTTAAATTTTAAGTTGATAAAAGTTAAATTTTTGTGCAGAATTTTTTGTTTTGAATCCCCCTCCCTATGAACAGGTAAAGAATCAGATTTTCAAAAATGTATATAAAATGAAAGGGAAATATCTAAGGTTTCAATATAAAACAAAAATATTTTGATTTGTTTATTTTTGAATAAGTTGATAATAAAAATTTTTTTGAAATTTACTGATTTTAAAAATCGTAATTTTTGGGATGATTTTAACCATTTACGGTGAACGATACCAAAATTTTCAACTTTTGAGGATAATGTCTTCAACTAGATACGATTCGTGATCTTATGACGTATTGTATTTTAAAATCGGTCCAATGAGAGCTGAGAATGAGTGGTAACAGACACAACAAAAAAAAACACATCTTATTAAATTCAAACAATTTAACCTCTTTGAAATACCAAGTAAAAATAACTCATGACTTATAATATTCTAATAATAGAGTAAATAAAGTAATTTTATAATTTGTGTAATATTTTCTTATTTTAGAATGTAAAATATGTTATACATATTTAAGTGCGGATGTGACTGAAGTAAAGTGTTGCAACACTAAGTTACACCAGGAATGTTTAGATAGACGTTTAAAATATTGTATTATGTGTCTTGAATGTAATAAAGATTTAATATCTGGTAAGTATTTAATTACTTTTTCAAATTTTGTTTATAAATTTCTATAATTACATTAGCTATAACACATTAAAAAACTTTTGGTTTTAATCTGATGCTCTTTTTATAACTTTGGACACGAATATTTTTTTATTCCTAGGCTAATTTAGGCATGTTGTTTCAAAATTAATTGATAGATATTTTTTTAAATATTTTAGGATAACAAAAATCTTTGTCCCTGCCCATTTCCTATAAAAACACATTAATATAATTAACTGTATAATGTATAATAACACTATTAATGATGACAGTTTATAGATGACCACATAGCAAAGCTAACCATTGACTTAATATTGAAATATTCCTATATACTCAAATTATTTTGTCTGCTTCATTAAGTAATATAATATAAACATAATGCAAAATAAGAAAAAAAACTGAAAATAAATGTTTATCAATAAAAATACTTAGTTGATACTTTAAGTATAATTCAAAAAAGGTACTTTAATCTGAGGGTGCTAAAATATCTCCGTACTAGTAACTAGCTTCAAATTGAGGTTTATTACAATTTTTTCAGGTGTTCAATATTTTTACAGACATTGCTATATAATTTATCTATAAAACAATTTATATATACAAACATATAGAAAATAGAACATTTTTATAAAAATAATTTTTCGTATTTTCTTAAAGATGACTTAATATTGCAATATCTATAAAAAAAATTAATACCTGACAAAATTGTAACTAGCTTATTACTGTAAGTACAAATATCATGGTGCTAGAAAGTGATTTAGCAAGAATATAGTATCCTCCACTGGATTTTTCCTGTAGTTGCGTCACTTAACTGATCATGAAGACTATTCATGAATATTATTAATTAGTCATATCCCGGCCATACTCTTCATCCTGCATAGGTATAAAAATCAAAATTACAACAAAAGTACTTGTCCAAAAGTTGTTATCGTTCCATTTTCTTAATTAGAATATTTCCTATTTTATAAGATAGTTAAATATGTATGGTATCATTTAAAAAAAAACCCAGCACAGGGGGGTCGCGGCACAGTGGTGACGTGGCATAGTTGGATCAAGTATAATGATATCTGACAGTGATTAAAATCACTATCAAAAAAAAACGCTTCGATGCAAATCTTTAGATAGTGTTTAATTTTAAAAAATTGGTGGATTATTCCAAAAGCTTCATAAACTGCTAGTTCCTTATTAATATCCTGATTAAGACAAAGTATGTAGAATAAAAAAGAGATTATTAGAAAATAGTATTTCCCATAAAAAAATTATATTGATCAATACACTTTTCAATAAGTTATAGCATTATAAAGTTAAAAATGTAAAAATTAAAATTAAGAATTTTCACACAATAATAGCATTCGGTAGCCATTTTGATGAAGACCAAATAAAGTACGAAATTTTTTTTTCCATAATAAAATATATTACATTAGCTTTAATTTAATATATATATAAAAGTGTCAGACTTTCCGGAACACTTTCAAAAGTTAAGTTGAAAAAGTTCTACTTTCTATATGCATTTTTATGTTTTGAATCCCCCCTGTATTAAGGGAAATGGTCCGATTTAAAAAAAAAGTATGTCGAATGAAAGATCTATATAAATACTACTTCTCATAAAAAAATTGTAATGATTCATACATTTTTCAAAAAGTTATAGCATAATAAAGTTAAAAATGGAAAATACAAAATCGAAAATTTTCACACAAAAATAGCATTCGGTAGCCATTTTCACCATGAAGATAAGATAAAGTCCGAAATTTTTTTTTTTCATGATAAAGCATATTACATTAGCTTTAATTTAAGATATATATAAAAGTGTCAGACCTTCCGGAACACTTTCAAAAGTTAAGTTGAAAAAGTTCTACTTTCTATATGCATTTTTATGTTTTGAATCCCCCCTGTATTAAGGGAAATGGTCCGATATAAAAAAAAAGTATGTCGAATGAAAGATCTATATAAATACTAACCGGAACANAATTTTTTCAATTTTTTTTACTTAAAAGTGCCATAACTTTTTCAAAAATGAACATATCAATATAATTTTTTTTTATATAGATTTATGATATCATTACCTTTCATTTGGTATATTTTTTTTTTATATGTGACTCTTTACTTGCCCACAAGGGGGGATTTAAAATGACAACTTTTTCACAAAAAATTAATTTTTTCAACTTGATTTTTGAAAATGTTCCAGAAAGTCTGACACTTTTATATATATCTTAAATTAAAGCTAATGTAATAAACTTTATCATAAAAAAAAAAAATTTCGGACTTTATTTTATCTTCACGGTAAAAACAGACATTAAACTTAATAAAAAAAATACGATTTTTGTAAAAAAATTTNAATGCTATTTTTGTGTGAAAATTTTCGATTTTGTATTTTACATTTTTAACTTTATTATGCTATAACTTTTTGAAAAATGTATGGATCATTACAATTGTTTTATGAGAAGTAGTATTTATATAGATCTTTCATTCGACATACTGTTTTTTTAAATCGGACCATTTCCCTAAATACAGGGGGGATTCAAAACATAAAAATGCATATAGAAAGTAGAACTTTTTCAACTTAACTTTTGAAAGTGTTCCGGAAGGTCTGACACTTTTATATATATCTTAAATTAAAGCTAATGTAATATACTTTATAATGGTAAAAAAAAATTTCGGACTTTATTTTATCTTCATGGTGAAAACAGACATTAAACTTAATAAAAAAAATACGATTTTTGTAAAAAAATTCTTTTTTATATTTTTAACTTTATAATGCCAGAACTTTTTAAAAGATGTATGGATCAATATAATTCTTTTTTTTATAGATGCATGATGTCTTTACCTATCATTTGGTATATTTTTTTTATAAATCTGACTTTTTACCTGCCCACAGGGGGGGATTTAAAATGACAACTTTTTCACAAAAAATTTAAAGATAAAATAAAATAAAGACATCATGCATCTACAAAAAACTATTTATATTCTTTTTTTATGCGACATACTTTTTTTGTAAATCGGAACATTTCTCTTATATATTATAAATATACTTATATTCATATATTACACTTATAAATCATAAAACTTGTAATCAAAATATAAATAAGGAAATAGGAGACCATGTACCTTTTGGAATAATCCACCAATTTTTAAAATAAAACACTATCTACAGATTTGCATGGAAGCGTTTTTTTTATAGTGATTTTAATCACTATCAGATATCATCTATACTGGATCCAACTGTACAACGTACATACTATGTCGCGTTCCCACTGTGCTGAGCTTTTTTAAGTATCAAAAAAACATGATTTTATCTAGTCTTTACCACAAATTGCGAAAAATAATAAATATTATAAATACTCTAAAGTGTTATAAATAAATTTAAATAAATGTATTTGAAAACTTTTAAAAGTATTCCTATTCTTTATAGTGTTGTATTTAAAAATGAAACAATCTTTTTGTTCTAACTTATTAGTTATAACAGTTCAATAATAACGCGAAATGTAATTAATAAAGATATAATCAAACAAAGTAAAACATATAAAATAATGATACACTTAAAACAGAATAAATAAATAATACACAAAATTAAAACTTAATGTCACAAACGTACCACGCGGAAAGAGATTACCTATGGTACTCCCGAAGTCTTCTCCCCCTACAAATCATTCCATTTCGTCTTATATACTAAAATCTTTTGTTTTTTTTAAATTCATAATGCAATCATTTTTTAAAATTTTTTATAAATATTTACTTCCTGATCTAGTAATAATAATTCAGGGAATTACAATTAATCCAAACATTACAAACGTGTTCTACCTCTAGGTTTACAAACAATAGATTACATTATATTTTATAATAATAGATCGAGAAACTCATAGTTAAACCAAACATTACAAAAATGCATTGTTTTCAGTTTTACAAAATAATGACCTATATTACAATAGCATTCAGGCACTCATAAAAAATTTTCAATTTAAAGAAATATTATCATTATGTTAAAAATTATGCATATTTTTTTTAATATTTTATGTTTTTGAGTTGTTGATTTGTGATTAATAATAAAAGTTCTATTTGTTTTTTATATAAAATAACTAGATTAAAGAACTTGTTTTATGTTTTTTTTTTCAGATTATGACAGTAAGTTCCTAATTTTATATTTACTTCATCTATGTATGTGTTGTAAAATTAGTAACTTAGTAATTTCTAGTTAAAAATGATGATATTTAACATCAGTACGGTTTGTCTTCTTCAGTCCCTTCATTTCAGCTTTCCAGACCCTGAGCGTATTCACACTTTTTAGAAGAGAAATTAATTCTTTAGTACAATTAAAATAAGAGAGCCCCCTAAAGAATTTTGCCACTTTTTGCTCGGAATTAATAATTAGTCCAAAACAAAAAGTTACTATTCATTATTATCATAACTATATATTTGTTTTATATTTATTATTAAAATAAAAATATATTAATTTAGTCTAGATCTAACCTACTCAAATTTACTGTAGTATTGCGCGTTACAAAAATGTAATAAGGAAAAAAAAAGACATTAATGTTATAGTATCTAAATTACTCATTATATTTATTAAAATCAAATACATGGGGGTTTTAAGAGTCTCAACAACACATTACTAAAATCTGGCCTGATATTTTTCATATATTAGCCATCATAAAATAATAAATCAAACATATTACAAAAAAAAAAACGATTTTTTATTTATCTAGTAATAGTAATTATATAAAAATTAATAACGGACTTATATTGAAGTGTTAAAAAACATTTTTAAATTTTATTCAAAAAAACTAATGAACTATGTCAAAACTTATGTTTGTTGTAATATTTATATAAATTACATATAATTCTCCACTCCACTTTTATTTATTTTCCAATTATTTATTTTTTGTATAATTAATATATATTAATTAATTTACAAGCATTTCTATAGCATTAATACTTTATTTTTTTGATTTATATGTAAAAATGAATAAGATACAAATTTTAGTTTTTAAAAAATCATAAGAGAAAAAATTTTTTTGTTGTATGTCAAAAAATTAAAGTAAATTTTATCGAGATGCACTTCAAAAGCAATTAATAGCATAAGACACGATTAAAATTATAAATTTATTTTTTATTCTCCTGAAAAGTATTTGAAATTATTAAAACAAAACTAAAAATTTTGCACATAATAAGTATTCGAGATTAAAGAAATATTTCAAAATCTATTTTGAACTGGTCCAATAATAAATAAGCAAATGGTTACTATTATAATAATAGTCTGTACAGCATTTTATTGTAAATTTTAATAATAAACTGGCAATTTGTCCGTGAGCGTATGTAGATCAAACATTACTAAAATTAAATTAGACAGTAACCATCATTATTATTATTATCGCTTACTCGTATGATAACTGAGCCCGAACAAAATCTATTACTTTATAACGATATTTGTTTAAATACATTTTTTTCAAGAATCACTTGTCTGTTCTAAATGCAAAAGAGTGAAAAAAGTCAATGGAGAAAATATGGTACTATTGAAATGTTGTGGTATCTATGTATGTAAAGATTGTATCTATATTACAATGAAAGGTAGATGTTTTTGCGGAGAAAACTTAGTAGAAGGTATATTATACTTACTTTACTTTTTTATCATACAATATTTGACACATTTATAAAGACAGAATAAGTGATTTTAAGATCATAAGCGTTTGATTTGGATGTGTCTTATTGGATTCCATAATATTGTATATAATATGCAAAATAATATAATTTTGCACCTTTTTTTCGCCAAATAATTTTTTTTTTAATTGATAAGAGTTGATCTACTACCCTTCCCCTCAATGACTTCTTAAGTTAACAATGCATTAATAATAAAGTTTGATAAATATTCGTAAGTTATCCCACTTGTTGCTGACTATACTGTAATGAGGTTCAAGTAATAAAAGTAATAATTAATTAATAACCACTATGTATTTTTATTGATACTAGTAATAATATTATTATTAATATTAATTATTTGAATCAATATTATGAGTCAACGTGGCAGTTGGAAAAACGACAATTGAATTAAATCAGTCTCTATTGTCCAGCGCCTGAGCGACCGGTTCGCACCGCCCTTCGGCCACCGTGAATAGCGCGACCTGTCGGACGTGAAGAGGAAGCGCCGTGATCGCCATCCAGCGGTAAAACCGGAAATGCGATGCGACATACTCCCCCCCCAGTCCGATCGGTCAGCCCTACAATGCGCCTACGACAGCTGGTCTAGTGGAACGTCCTCCAGCACTTCAACATCGGATATACAGGTGTTCAGTAAGTTAGGAAACAGTTAAATTGTTACAAACAATGAGTACAATAGAAATTCGTTTCCTTATTTACTGAACACCCTGTATAGATGGGGAGCGCGTTTAGTATGGCGTCGACGTCCGACTCCACCTCCATCTGCTCCGCCCTGTCGGGCTGTATAAAATTGCACAGGATCGGATCTGGGGGTCTATTTTTGAATCATCCGTTCGTCAAACGGATTCTATTGTTCCATTAGGTATACGGCCTTCTAGGTATTTNTCGCTAAAACTATATAAATAATTTAATTACACAAATTCTAACAAAAATGTATTTACAATTGCATACAAGTTAAATTAAAAATGATTAATACACTTTAAAACAACAATACTTAAATTTTCGAAAATAAAGTGTTACATATATTTTATTTTATTTATTCATTTTAAGATTAATTGATATAATTTATAAATTATGTTACATATAAATAAATAATAAATTTAATAAGATTTTAGTTCTTAATTGGAAAAAATGACACCCTAGGTCACGGTCTACTCTTAAATACGCCACTGTTTTGAAAAGTAGTTAACTTAATAAACATATAATTTCATGAATAATTTTCACAAAAAACTTAAGGTAAATTTTCAAAAGATGGTTTATTACGAGGTGCAAGGATGCAACAAACAAAATAGTTGTTACACGTATTACGAGTTTTAATTAATATTACTGAGTAATCATAATATAATATTATGTTTCAATTTATTTAACATATTAACTGAAAAATGGAAATTAATTTATAATAGTGAATATAATATTTTAATATTTTGTACTTTTTTTTTATACAACGTAATATTTAAAACATAAATATTACTTTTTTCTGCACGTGTTCAAACAATAGGGGTAAAAATTTTTGAGTTAATATACATGTATAATACACAAGGGTTTACAAATGCAGGTAGCTAATTGTTTTTTCATGACNAGGGTTTACAAATGCAGGTAGCTAATTGTTTTTTTATGACATCGATATTAGCAGGTACACAGCATTGTTATTATCAATGGTAGTAAAGCACATTGTTGTGAGTTTATAAATACACTAACTGACAATACAGAAAGTATATCTATTGATAGTCATAATTGATAATAAAGAATCCGTGACTATGACAGCAATGTCATAAAAATCCAATTAGCTACCTGTATTTGTAATCCCTTATATATTATACATATACAGGGTGTTCAGTAAGTCAGGAAACGGGTTTCTATTGTTCTCATTGTTTGTAACAATGATGGTGCAGATGGGTTGGTGAAATCCCACGTGTTTTTCGGGTCCGTCTGTCCTTTCGCCTCACTACCTCTGGTCCGGTTCCCAAACGCCGGTTGCTGTCGGAGACTCCTCTCGTAAACGGCCCATAACAGCGGGTTGGCCCGAATCTCCCACAGTTCCGCTCTCCTCACCCTTTCAACCGTCCAGCCGGTTGGAACATCGTCCGTTGGTTCGCCTGTGAGGATGGTCACACCTCTCCTCATTTTCCGCATGACTCTCCGCAACATGTTGGTCAACTCGTCTGCTGCCGCTCGTGATGGGTGGTTTGGACGCGATTGACGCTGACTGTTGTTGGCTTGCTGTTCCGTCATTCTGTAACCAATCAAAAGCGTTAGAGTGCCCCAATTGAGCTGCATGTTTAAGGGCCGAAACGTGAAGCTTCAACTGACTTTTACTATTGGTTACATAGACCTCCTCACCTAATCGTTTACTAATTTGCACTGGACCTAGCCAAAATACCACGCTAGATAGGGGATGTGCATGGTAATAAGTCAAATCCCCTTCCGTAAAACGATCTACATGATTTTTTAGCCTGGTAGATCTGATCCTGCGATCACTTTTACCGAAGTTCAATCCGAGTTCATCAGAGGGTTGCTCTCCCCCTCCGGAAAAATTTATTTTTCCACCGGACCGTTCGGTGTTTTCAGATTTTCCCGGTTCCTCTGTGGAAAATTGAATTTTTTCCGGTAATTCTTCGGTAAAAGTTTCTGTTCTACTGGACTATTCCTCCTTTCTTTGGATCTTCTCTAAATTGTCCAGTTTTTTACCCGTAGAACTATATTTGAATCAATATTATAAGTCAACGTGACAGTTGGAAAAACGATAATTGAATTAAATCAGTCTCTATTGTCCAGCGCCCGAGCGCCCGGTTCGGACCACCCTTCGGCCACCGTGAATAGCGCGACCTGTCGGACGTGAAGAGGAAGCACTGTGATAGCCATCCGGCGGTAACACCGGAAATGCGATGCGACCGCGATAACTGGGGTTCTATTTTTCACTGGAGAGCAATTTTTTTAACAAAAAATGTAGTGTACGTGATATAGTAAGTAAGAAGACAGTAGACCATCAATTAATAACAGTACATCAACTGCGTTACAACAGGTTTGTTTGGAGTGCTTCCATCACCGTCAATAGTTTTAATATAGTTTACAAATTTATTTTACGTTTTACATTGTAAACTATTCTACAAATTTTGCAAACAATAAATATTTGAGATTAAATAAATATGATTTTTAAATCATTAGATGATAACAATAATTTTTTAAAAGAATTTTTTTTTTTAAGCAAAAGTCGTCTGCTCAAATTGTAAATACATAAGAAATGGCGATGATGGGAATTTGATAATAATGAATTGTTGTGGAAAAAAATTATGTGAATTTTGTATCAAACATTACATGAAAACTAGTTGTTCGTGCGGAGAAGACTTAGTGAAAGGTACTTATACTTATTTTACTTTTTTATCATACAATAATGGACACATTAGTATCCATCACATTTACAGAGTCAGATTAAGTAATTTAAAAATTATAATTAGGCTTAGGGACATACATGCTTAGTATATGCATATACATATGTTATAAATCAACAAAATATGCTCTATATATGAGTCGTAACATAAATAAAACACCAAGTGTTGGGTGGTGGGTAAGGGGTGTAATAGAGATGTAGTGTGTACAAAGATGATATTGAGTCTGCTGCTTGGATATTCACGTACGTGTGATCACTGATCATACAGTATGTACTGTGCTCGGCTGACACTCCGGATTAGCTGTGGGTGTCGAAAGTATAGAAAAAGAATAAGAGTAACACCTAGGTATGAGATACAGACGAAGTGCAAGAGACAAATACTCTAAAAATTTCGAGGACGAGAGTAGGAAAATGAAAAAGGAAAAACAAAGACTTGACTTTATGCAGTAAGCCGGATAGCGACAACCAAGTACAGAGACTGATGAATGACACAAAGCACTGGAATCGATTGACCCCGATGGGCAGGTCTTTTGGGTTTAAATTTTAATTCGGACAATTGCAAATTTTGCAATAAATATTAATCGTCAATTCATCAGTCTCTAGAAAAGGATGCGCTGTCTGTATTTTATTATAATGATTTTTTACAATAATGGTGTCGTGACACTATCGCATATATATATATATATATATATATATATATATATATACAGAGCGATTCTTTTAACTAAATCCACTCGATTTTTCTTAAACTATAAAGTTCTTTGAACAATTTTTTCTTTTTTGATTTGGTAAGTTACACATGTAAATTTATTTATCTGTTACAAATTATTTTCCCATACCTTCTCTTAATCTTTACACGGCTCCGCGTCGCTTCGTGATACACGATGCCCAGGGCCGGATTTACCTACAAGCTAAATAAGCATTGCTTACGGCCCGTAAAATGTCCGGTATATGAAAATAAAAAATATATTATATGACTAGCTGACCCGGCAAACGTTGTTCTGCCATATGAATTATCAAGTAAATCAAACCTAAATATAAATCATTATCTTATATCTAACAAATATACGAAAAAAATTCATTTAAATCGGTTGAGCCGTTTCAGATAAATACGGGAAGCTCCGCAGATAATGAAACTGAGTACCATCAGCTGTGGGCCGTCGATAACTCATTAAAAATAGGAATAACTAATAAGTAATAACAATATTCGGACTTTCTTATCTGTACTCCGTACAATATTATTATAACAAGTTACATGACATTATGTATATACTTGTGATCAGATCAGATGGCGAGAATCACAGTCATAAATATTTATAGTGAATGATAAACTGTATAGAGTACTTTGGTTTGTACGTATATCTGTATAACAGTTGTGTTTTAGTATTTAAAAAGGTTTAAGTGTGGTTCAAGTAAATTAATTTTTTTGAAATACCGAGAACAATGTCAAAACCGAAAGGTGGTTGGGAAAAGTTAAAAGAAACTCAAAAGAAAAAGAAGAATGAAGCAGACTTTCTAAAAAAAATAAGCCCTCTTACAACGTATTTTATACGTATACATACTAATAGTGAAAATACCAATAATAAAGAAGATAATATTATAAATCCTAGTACATCGGACTCGCATAATGTCCCAAATTTACCTAATTCGATCACTGGTGCTTCTTCTAAAAGTATTGATGATTAGATGAAAGTATTTAATGATCCCGGAGATTGGAATTTAACATCCCATAATTTAATATCTTACTTAATAGAAAAAGGGCCAAAATTCTTTCAAAATATAAATGCTGACTTTTCCTTAACAAAAAAATATTATGAAAATCCTAAAGTAAATCGTTGTCTGAACAAAACTGTTTTTTTCTATACAAAGCCTAATGGTGATTATTGTAATAGAGAATAGTTACTTTATTCGCCGACTAGAAAAATGACATATTGTTATTATTTTATTCTTTTTTCTAAAAATGACATTATGTGTGATGGATATGATGATTGGCGAAATGTTCAAAAATTTCTTGAAAACCATGCGAAAAAAGGAAATCATGTTTTGGCAATTATTATGTACCTAAATAGAACGAAACTATCGGGTAGAATAGATAGTGAATTAGAAAAACAGTTAACTGAAACACGCGACTATTGGAAAAACGTATTAAGGTGCATAATTGAAACAATATTATTTTTATCGGGACGTGGTTTACCATTTCGAGGTTCAGACGAACACTTCGGGTCAAATCAAAATTGAAATTATTTTGGAATATTTGAGCTTCTTTCAAATTTCGACCCATTTTTAGCCCAACATATTGCAGTACACGGAAATCGAGGGAAAGGACACACATCTTATTTGTCTAAAACTATTTGTAACGAATTTATTGCACTTATTGCAAAAAAAACTCGTACAATGATTATAGATCAATGAAAAAAAGCCGGTTATTTTTCAATAAGCGTTGATTCTACTGATATTACCCATATGGATCAACTAACTATTATTTTGAGATACGTAAATAATGATGGACCAGTAGAACGTTTCATTACTTTTATTCATATTACAAGTCATACTGGTGCTATGTCTTTACTTAACTTTTCGAGAGAAATTGATATTAACATAGAAAATTGTCGTGGGCAGAGCTATGACAACGCTAGCAACATGAGTGGGACTTATACTGGTATGCAAGCAGAAATAAAAAAGTGCAATTAATTAATTTATTATATTCCGTGTATTGCACATTTGCTGAATCTCGTTGGACAATCTGCTGTAGATTGTTGTATTGGAGCAGTTTCATTTTTCGGTTTTGTCCAAGAAGTTTACAATTTTTTTTCCGCCTCTACCCCACGCTGGGATATTTTAAAAAAAACTTTAGTAAAAAATTGTCCACTTCCTAAATCCAAATCAGTTACTAGAAGGAGTGCAAGTGCTGAGGCTGTTAAAGCGTTATTTATAAGTTACGAGAATATTAATGAAGCGTTAAAAAAATTTCAAAATGATACATTTCAAAAACAATCAACTCGACACCAAGCTTCTTGTTTAAGCTCAGTATTCGGTTATTTAGAAACTGCCATTATCTGTGAATTATGATATAATATTCTCGAACCATTTAATAAGTGTATTAAAAGTATTCAAAGTGGTGTAATTGATTTATACACTGAAATAAATTATATGAAAGTCTTAAAATTGTCCTTCAAAATATAAGAAACCAATATGATGAATATGAAAGTACGAAAAGGGCTAAAAATGAAGACTATAAATTAACTACGCATAGAAAAAAATTTAAAAGAAACGAGAGTAGTTTTAATGAACTAAATACAAAAGAATCATTTAAAATAAATATTTTTTATTTAATAATTGATCAGCTATATAGTGCTTTAGTACATAGAATTAACGCTTATACTAACGTAAGGGATAATTTTAAGTTATTATCAGACATTTCAATGGACATGAAAATTGAAGACATAGAAGAAGGAATGGAAAAGTTATTAAAAAGATATCCAAAAGATTTCCCTGGTGATTTTAAAAATGAGTTTCAACAGTTTCTAAGTTTTTTGGCAACGTCTTTATCATTAATTACAACGAACGAAAATAAGAAGAAGAATATTTTGCTTAACATGTATAAGATGATAGTTGATTTAAATGTGACTGAGAGTTTTCCAAATGTTCAACGGTTATTACGTTTATATCTTTCTCTTATGTGTACCAACTAATCAATTAGCTACCTGTATTTGTAATCCCTTGTGTATTATACCTATATATTAAATAAAAAATTTGAAACTTTAAATGTTTATATCTAATAAATAAATTAAGTTTCATTAAAAATTCAAATGCCATTTACTATTGAATTAAAAACTCAAACATTTTATTAAATTAATAATACGTGCTACNAATTAAAAACTCAAACATTTTATTAAATTAAAAATATGTGTTACCATTTAAAAAAACAAAGTTGACACCCTTACCAGGCATAAGGGATGAACTTAAAAAGTATTACATAGTTAATAATTCAAGAATAATGTGTAACTAAAGATAGTAATAAAAAAAAAATTTTAAATTATTATTATTCTGTTAGTAATTGAGTGGGTTATGATAAAAAAATCACCCTGTATATAACAGAAAACAATAATCTTCATATATTTTATTCATGTTACTTATATTTATGAGGTAATTAATTAGGCCCATCTGAATCATTTGCTTACGGCCCCCAAAGTACTTAATCCGGCTCTGACGATGCTCCGCGATTAGTACCACATTTATCAGCCGTCGCCCTACTATGAATATTTGTGACTGACCAAAACCGCGTGCCATACGCCACGATGCAAAATGAAACAAGTGCCGCACGGCCAACAACAACCCGCCGCAAATGATAAGTTGAGTCTTCTTCCCGTTGTCAAAGTGACAACGTCGAGGATGTACGCCACCGATTCTGGACATGCCGCACGACTGGACTCGACGAACCGATCCGCACACGCACATCGTTGCCATCAACTTTGATAACGTTTTGACGACCGAGGATCATTCCCGAATACCGCGATGACGACGCCAGCTAAAGTGCTGCGATATTATGCGAAGATTATTATTAATTGGGTTCGTCTTTTTGGTTTGTTTGATTTTAAATAACCTGTTGTTGTTGAATAATAAACAGCACACGGGTTTAGAGACGTGTCAATCTTATAGGAGTGTCAGCTTTATTATTTTTAATGCAACATACATGTTTGTATAACTAACTTACATAATTAACAAAATAACTGGTCAATAACAACTTTTAGTCTAATACTTTGGAAGTTATAATCATTTTAAAACATATACTGGAAGTGAAGCGAAGATGTTACAATTTTTATCATTTTTCGTCAGCTCTGTAAATGTTCTTCCTTATTGTAGCTTCTTTTATCACTTCACTTATTCTTCTAAACATTCTCCTATCTGCTACATTTATTTTCTGCTCTTTTCTCTTGTCAACCGCCCAAAACTCTGAATCATACATCATAGCTGATCTCGCTACTGTTTTATAAAACTTACCTTTTAGCCAAAAACGCTTTTATTAGCTATATATGAGAGTTAATCCCCACTCCCCAAGTTAACTTATGTGAACATTACAGGATTAGGGAAGTCTGATTAATATTTTCAAATTCTAAACTAAATTTTTTTAAATTTTGTAACAGTGTACAATGTACTCTATACATATAGTAAGTGTACATAGTTGTTATTAACCAAATGTGCAATATTATAATGAATGAATTAGCTAAAGAATACGTTTTAATAAAAATATCTCACCAAATTATACAAGTCCAATATATAAATAAATTAAATATAAGAATGTTAATGAAAATTAAAAATGTATGTAGAAGTCATAAATTTTACAAAAAATTTATTGTTGAACGGTGTTTTGAAAACTTGAATTTTTGTTTCACTCAGGTAAAATAAAAATTAACCATTCGTAATTATAAATTTAATTCACACATTTTTATTTTAATAACACAATAAAGACAACATTATTGTCAAATTATGAAAATGTGATGATGCGACTGACGTGGTAAAAATGTAGTCGACACAAGGTTATTTCTCCAGGTTGCGTCAAGCCGTTTAATGAAAGAAAATAGTAATACACAAGAATAATGGACGAATCACAAATAACAATAATACTGATTACTGAATAAATAATACTGAAAAATGATTAGTCGACAGATGTCAGAAATATTCGACAGTGCGGTGGCGTTCGGTCGGAGGGATGGACGGCGGAACCAACGATTTAGGTGTCACGAAGATGGCTGACTACTCGACGTATTATTGCAGCAGATATTTTACGCTAGGCATTTATTGGACTTTACACCACGACGATAACGCGTGTGTATAACGGTCCGGTTTACAGTGGAGCGGAGGCTGAGAAGGAGCTGACACGACCGCGGGGTGTCAAACGTGTGACAACGCCGTGGCCGTGTCAGTGACGAGCCGTAACAGATGATTATTTTAATTCCTTATTAATCAATCTCTCACTAAGGCATAACTAAGCATTACTGATTAAGCCGAATAATAGTAATCAAATTAAAAAAAGTTTACAGTGACTAATTATAGAATTTTCTAAGAAATATATATAATATTTTTTATGAATTGTAATAAAAAATTTGTTTTAAGGTTGTGGTATTACATTTTAGGTATTCCTTTCAATGACGTCCGAATATGTACAGAATGTGAAAAGAATACTGGAGTATATAGTTTTTCCCCTCGTTGTCCACACATATTTTGTGAGGGTTGCTTTACATCCACAAAAAATAAATATTTTGGCAAATGTAAATATTGTGGGGAAAGTGAACCGAATAAGTCTTCAAAATCATTCATCAAAATGCTATTGAAATATAATAAAATAAAAAAATAGCTCACTTTTTGAAATGTTCTAGATATTTTGAATTATTAAATAATTATATAACCTAATATTTTTGAAATTAAATTTTATAGTTATTAATTATCTCTTAGCTCAAAAGTAATAACTTATTTTTATAAAGTGCAATTATCAAATTGATTTACTGAGCTAAAATAAACAAAACATTTTTGCAAATCAAAGTGTATGTAAGTATGACACGAGAGAAAGTATTGGTAAATATGACACGGTATCAAGCCCTGCTTTAGGCGGGTGCTCACTCGTGTCTCTCTCTATATCTGCTCTCCAGTTATTAACATGACTGGTGGTTATTGTACATTTCTATGCATTATTAACCGAGCCAAGGCCGCCACTGATTGTGTATTACTAATTATTCGTTCTGTTTTGTTCGGACGATCATACGAGCTGTGTTACGTCGTCGATTTTTTTATACAGGATGTTCAGTAAGTCAGGAAACGGGTATCTATTGTTCTCATTGTTACAAACAATATATACATATACGGTATAAATAAAAATATATAACTCAGCACCTAAGTGTTCTTCTATTTTGTGAGGGAATTGTTTAATATTTGAGGATCTTGGTCAAAATCAAGAATCGGAAGCTACCTGACGTCTGCCCAAATATTATCCCTATCTCCTTGTATGAGTTTTTATTACCTGACGGAGATACAGGCAATCGTGTACCTTACAAGGGGAGATCACAGTGATGGGGTAACCGATTTTCATAAAATTTATATAAATCTAATCTATATTGAGTACAAAATAAGAGGTATTTTGAATTTATTACCAATGGCATTAAGTCGAGAAAATTGACTTTGAAAATTTTTAATTGACTTAAATAGGGTTATTTTTCTTGTACCGACAATAACGTGTTATGGTCGAGTCGATCTTATATCTTACTTACTGAACACTGTATATAGTTAAACCTTTCAAAAATCTCTCATTTAAAAATGTATACACTTTTACCGGGTTAATATTAAAATAAGTTATATTTATGTGCATAAAATATTATTTTATTTTGTTCATATTTTATCACTGAAAAATCGATAATTTTTACCATTAAATGTGTTTTGAATGTAGATAACATTAAATCGTATTATAAACCAAATATATTACGTAAAATTAATAATTCAAAGAGAAAACCATGAAAAAAATTAAGAAATAACACGTGACACATGGAGATTTACAAACAAACACACAACATACAAGTGAAACTGGTCGCGCATTAAAGAGAAACGTTGGCCATACGTTTTGGGGTGGTCAGCGCTTTGTATCTTGCGCTTCATGTAATAAAGCTCATAGCGGAACATGACTGTTCAGCGTTTCCTGACGTTAGATCGGTTTTGGTTGAACAAACATACATAGATGATATTTGTTCGGGTGCGGATTCGAAAGACGAAGCTTTACGCATACAGCGTGACTTAATTTTCATTTTGAAGGGAGCAGGTTTTCAGTTAAAAAAATGGATAAGTAACTCACCTGAAGTATTAGATAAAATACCTGTAGACGACAGGGCTAGTGGTGTACAATGTTTTTATTCTCAATAGGATGGCATTACCAAGATTTTGGGAATGCGGTGGAACCCCATAAAGGATACTTTTGGTTATAGTATACTACCTACAACAACTAAGGTAACTAAACGCGGAATGTTATCTATTATAGCACGCCTATATGATCCCTTAGGTTTTCTAGCACCTTGTATATTTATGGCAAAAACCATAATGCAACGTGCATAGCAAGCCAAAATTACCTGGGATGACCAATTACCGACTGACATAGAATTAGATTGGCAAAGGTTTATGGAGGAGTTACCACTACTATCAAATATTGAGATACCTCGTTTCCTGCAGACTAAAAAACAGTCTTACTGTCAATTGATCGGTTTCTGTGACGCATCAGAGCGCGGATACGCGGCGGTACTTTATATACATGTAAAGGATTTATTATCGAATGTTCATATTTTTCTTTTAGGTGCCAAGACTAAGACGGCTCCTATTAAAAATTCAACTATACCACGGCTATAATTATGTGCTGCACTTCTACTAGCACGTTGGATGTCACGAGTTCATGCTGTTTTGGAGTCACGTTTATGTGTTCAACAAATGTTCGCCTGGTCGGATTCAGCCATAGTGTTGTCATGGTTGAATTCATCTCATGTTAATTATAAAATATTTGTGTCTAATCGAGTTCATCAAATCCAGCAGTTAATGCCAACTTGTTAATGGTCTTATGTATCTAACAAGGAATACCCAGCAGATTGTGCGTCCCGTGGTGTTTTACCGTCAATGTTGGCCAATCTCAAGTTATACTGGCATGGTCCTAAGTTTTTGTATTATCCTGTAGAGCAATGGATTTGTTCAGATTCTCCTTCAGTGCCACCAGAATCAGTTGAAATGATAAGTGTTGTTCTAACTTCAGTGAATTCTGATCGTGTAAAAAAGGAATGGTTTTTTCAGTTTTCATCTTATTTTAAATTATTGCGTGTCGTTGCCTGGGTGCGCCGATTCATACTATGTCTTAGAGGGGAACGTCGAACTGAAAACATTTTGTCCACCGAAGAAATAAAAGAAACCTTGATAACTCTAGTAATTTATGTTTAAGATCTGTATTTACATGATTTAAAATTAGAACTACTAAAGGGACGTCGAATTTCATCGAAATTATACGCACGTCTTTGTCCTTTTATCGATTCTTTCAATACAATAAGAGTAGGAGGGAGGCTGCGTAATGCTGGAATTTCTGATGGTCAGAAAAATTCTATTTTATTGCCGAAACAAGCGTATTTAACTCAGCTGCTTTTTCGCCATTGGCACGATGTTGGTTGTCAAGCAGGAACCCGTTTTATGATGTCAATGGTAGCACGAAAGTTTTGGGTGATATCAGCTCGTAATATTGCAAGTGGTGTATTAAAAGAGTGTACAAAATGCTTAAGACATGCAGCAATACATCCTCAACCAATTATGGGAGATCTACCTGCTGTAAGAGTTACACCAAGTCGTCCATTCTCCAATGTAGGTATCAACTACGCGGGTGCTTTTATTATGAAGGAACATCGTTTACGAAAATCAAGGGAGTACAAGGTATATGTTGCCATATTTGTTTGTATGTGTGTTAAACCTGTGCATTTGGAAGTAGTAACAGACTCAACGACGGAAGCGTTTATAGCAGCCTTAAATCGGTTTATTAGTAGGCGGGGATTGCCAGATAATATATACTCAAACTGTGGTACAAACTTTATAGGGGCCAACAAGTTATTACAGAGATGGGTAAATGCACAAGAACACCAGCATCAGTGGTCCATTGCAGTGCCATGTAAATGGATTTTTAATGCCCCTGCCAGTCCTCATATGGGAGGCAGTAGTGAAATCTATGAAAACACATATAGTTAAGGTCATGGGTCCTAAGGTGTTTACATTTGAAGAATTTGTTACAGTTGTGACAAGGATTGAGTCAGTGTTAAACTCAAGGCCATTGATACCACTGAGCGACGACCCTGGGGATTTGGAGTGTTTGACACCAGGTCATATTCTAATTGGACAACCTCTGTTAGCTGTTCCTGAAGAACATGTATATGAAACCACCCGTCCAATTGTAAATAGATGGAAATTATTATGCCAGACTCATCAAAGTTTCTGGAGACGATGGTCTAACGAGTACTTGAATTTATTGCAGACTCGCAGTCGTTGGATTCGAGGGAGCCCTAATGTTTCAATCGGAGACATGGTTGTCATAAAGGAAGACAATATGCCACCCTTGTAATGGCGTCTTGGACGAATTATTGATGTTTATCCAGGAGAAGATGGAGTTATACGGGTTGCCCTTGTCAGAACACATTCTGGGAATATTAAACGACTAGTAGTAAAGTTGGTAGTGTTAGTCAAAGTAACAGACCATTAAAATTATATTATTGTTCTCAGTTATTTTTTTTTTTTATATGTATAATATTAAAACCTACGTTGTATTCTTGTTAGTTAGCTTAATAATTATTCATAATGTGAAAAAATTATTCTTTACAGTGTTCATAATTTATGCAGGGTGTTATCGTTACTCCATTTGTAAAATATCTAGTAATTTGGTGCTAATAAATTAATTTTTTTTTTACTTGGTCAGGCGAATTATCTTACTATAACAGTTATTCTTAACACATTTAGAAATTTTATAGCTATTAAAGTTTAACACTGGGGTTCTAATTAGCAAGTTATTCAAATATATATATATAAAAAAAAAAAATGGTCTCTGTTTTGTCTTCTTTAATTATGGTAATTTTATACTTTTAGCTTCGATGCGAAGCGGAGAAGGTATTAATTTTACTATGATGTGTTTTTTTTTTTTTTTTTTTTTTTTTTTTTTTTTTTGCCCTTTTTT